CCGGATGCCGGTTGGAGCTCTGCGGTGCAGAGCAGAGGCTGCGCCCGGGCCGCAGGCAAGGGTAGAAAGCCAACGGGTCCGCTCTCCGACGCGCGGTGGACGCGGCGGCGGCGGCGAGGGACGCCCCAGAGGAAGAGAGCTTCGCGCTGTCCTTCTCTTCCGCCTCTGATGCAGAATTTGATGCTGTGGTTGGATATTTACAGGACATTATCATGGATGATGAGTTCCAGTTATTACAGAGGAATTTCATGGACAAGTACTACCAGGAGTTTGAAGACACGGTAGAGAATAAGCTTACCTACACACCTATTTTTAATGAATATATTTCTTTGGTAGAAAAGTATGTAGAAGAACAGCTGTTGGAGCGGATTCCTGGATTTAACATGGCGGCTTTCACTACAACTTTACAGCACCATAAAGATGAAGTGGCCGGTGACATTTTTGACATGCTACTCACATTTACGGATTTTCTGGTTTTTAAAGAAATGTTTCTGGAGTACCGAGCAGAAAAAGAAGGCCGGGGACTGGACTTGAGCAGTGGTTTAGTGGTGACGTCACTGTGCAAATCATCTTCTGTGCCAGCCTCCCAGAACAATCTGTGGCCCTAGGTCTCACCTTCAGGCTCCCGGCTCTTCCTGGACGTCACCAGCTCAGTAGACTGGGAGAGGCTTTGGCTAATGATGTCAGAAGAATACATCTTGGAAAGACTGACTCTTCTGCAACTCTTCATTAATCTTAAGTATTGATGGGTCAGAAGACAATTACCTGACCTTTCTGGGACGAGACATTCTTGGTTTTGGTAACCCTAGTACTCCTCCCCGAGTAGACCCCTCTCTCAGGCTTCAGAGTCTGGCTCCTGCAGCAAACCCGAGTCCAGCATTCTACCTGGGATGCCTGTCCCCAGCATTCATGTCAGGGTGTCCGTGTTGGGAAAATTTACCATCCTCAACACTCTTGGCTCAGTAGGTCTTACATGTCCCAGGAGGCTTTTCATGCACCCACAGCTGATCACAGTTTGAGTCCTACAGCCTCAGTGGGGGTTTTGACTGGGAGTATTTATCTAGGAGTTAACTGCAGCTAGCTGCCCATCTCAAGATTTGTGAAAATCCTACCATCATAGCTAGTAGGAATCAACTTAGAGATTTCCTTTACTTAAAAGCTACATGTGAAAATCAATTCCTAGTCTTACATGTGCAGTCTTTATCACTGTCTTCTACAGGTCCAGATGTAGTCCCATTGTTTTCATAACCCTCGTTTATGCGTTTTTGAAAAAATATTTTTATAGATGAATACTCAGGCTAACCTAGTGGATACAATCTTGGAACTTCCATGATTACCCACTTCAAGATCAAAGTATTATATGCTGTGTGCTTTTTATCTGTTAGTGCTATGAAAGCTAAAATGCTTTCTACCTTGGTCCATTTTACTGGGTGCCAGTGAATGTATGCTGGAAGTAGTCTAAAATATATCCTTTTCTTAGAGCAAAAAAAAAAGAAAAAAGAAAATATGTCTCCCCTCACAGGATGATCCCAGACCTGCCAGGTGGGACCCTTGTTATCACCCATGGACACACAAGTTGTTCAGGCTCCTGATAATGAGACACCCAGTTAGGAACGTTCCCCCCACCCTCTGAGGCCAGGACACCCTGCAAATTAGGAACTCGGGCTTAGGAAATTCTATACTAAGGATTTCCAATTCTCCTGGAAAAGTTCAGAGCATCTTTAAAAGTCACGTGAGGCACTGCAGAATAGTCTGCAAGACAGGAAGGCCGCTTCCTCACATACTGAGGAATCCCACTGCCACCCACCAGAGCTAAAATCTATTCCTTCTCCCGAGGGATGCACCTGGCCAGAGGCCACCACCAGCAACCTGTATCCCCCACCTCCAGCGGGCCCCGCCCATCCCACTGTGAATCCCGCCCCTCCGCGACCCCGGGCCAATGAGAACGCGCGCCCCTCCTTCCGCGTGGCCACGGTGCCCGCCCAAGCCCTACCAGCACTCACCAGATGTGTGGCGGCTGGTCCAGACGGTGGAACCGGGTGACGAAGGACGTCAGCGTCACCAGGGCCAGCAGGGCCCACCGGCCGGCCGCCTCAAAGCGCCGCGAGCTCGGAGGAGCAGGCCGTTTGGGGCTCCGCGCTGTAGCTGCCTCCGTGGTCACGTCCCGGCCCGCGGCCCGAGCCGCCTGGGACCCGTATCGGCCCTTCCGGGGGCGCAGTTCGGATCCCGCCAAGCCTCCGCCCGCAGCCGGCGGCATCCTTCCCCTCCTCAGGACGGCCCTCCGGCCCGCAGGCACGCTGTGTCTTGCGAAGCGCCCCGCCAAGAAGTCACCAGGGGGCAGCTCGGGGTGCCCTGGGAAATGTAGTTCCCTGCGCCGGCTACGCGGCGCCAGGCCCCGGCCTCTGGGGTGGGCGGGGAGTGCGCTCGCCGCCCGGGCCGCTAGGAGGCGGCTAGTGGCGCAGAGCATGGCGAGGGAGCTGCGCCGGTCCGGCGAGAAGGCGGGCTCAGGGAGCTGCGGCTCCCAGCGGCGCCGGGGCTGGGGGCGTGGCGGCGGGGCGGGCCGAGCTACCCGAGACCTTGGGGCTCATGCTCGGCTGGCCCCTCGCTTTTACCGGGACCGAAACCCAAATCCTGACGTGTTGGGGGTCGGCCCCTCGCTTCTACCCAGCTCAAAACCGAAGTCCTGACGTGTTGGGTCCGGCCCCTGACTTTTACCGAGACCAAAACCGAAGTCCTGACGTGTTGGGGGCCGGCCCCTCACTTTTTACTCAGACTCAAACCGAAGTTCTGACGTTTTGGGGTCACACTGGGCCCGAATCGTCGCCGAGTCGGAGAGTCGTAGGCGCGAAGCTTCCTGATCCGGAAGGAGGGGCCGCCCGCAGCGCGAGATGCAAGTGGGGAAGGTCTGTGCCGCGTATCCGGGGCAAGGGGCCGCTGCTTAGAAACACTGAGGCGACCCTGGGGCCGGGGTCAAAGGTGACCGCCTGGCTCCGCCCACAGCTCCCACAAAGACTCCCAGCAGGCCGTGCGCCGCTCGGACTCGGCTCTGCGCCTGCGCGTTGCCCTGTGGTCGGGGTGGGAGGGGAGATTGGGCCCAAGGTGTCGCGAGTTATTTCAGTCGTCCCCTCGCTTTGCACTAGTCTCGCCATCCCCTAGCTCGACCCGCTGGGGCTTCCTAAGCGTCGTCTCTCCGTCTTCCCTGTTCCGCGCTCGGTCCTGCGTATATTTTCCCGGCGGTCAGCCTGACGGGTCTAACAGCAAACGGCCTTCCAGGGTTGTTTGCATTTTGAGAGCGTGCAAAGGGGAGGCGGTGGCACTTGTGGTCATAACAATCACTTGGGGACCTTACCACTTTTAATTTGCATTTCCCAGGCCTTTCCCCAAACCACTGTATCAATCTCTTTATTAAAGATTGAAAACAGCGATTGTAGCTCAAAGGAAGGTGGCAGGAACATTCGGTGGAATAGAACATCGCTTTGATAATAACAGACCTCCCACACCCAAATGGGAGTTTAGGACCCTTTCTCGAAAATCGTGTGTAAGAGATGGTTTAAAAATAAAATTTGTTGGAGTGGTAAGAATTCATGTTTGAATTGAAAACAATTCCTCCAGGAGTGGTGATGAAATGGATATTTTACTTGCACTTAAAATTTAGCTCTGCAAATGCAAAAAGGAACACGGGATGGTTTATTCAGGTATCATAAGAGATCAGAAACCACCCTTCATTTTATCTGCTGATGGCCCCTAAGTAGGAAACGTGAGGGCTTAATGGCATTGTCACCCTTAGCACAGGTCAAAGGTATAACTGTAACTAGGTAAGGTGTTTCTTCAGAGATTCTAAGCTAATGTTTGCGGCTCTCTAGGGATTCTTTCGGAGCAGGCAATGGCACCACACACATTCCAGTCCTCTTGCCTGGAAAACCCCATGGACGGAGGAGCCTGGTGGGCTGCGGTCCATGGGGTCGCTAAGAGTCAGACACGACTGAGTGACTTCACTTTCACTTTTCACTTTCATGCACTGGAGAAGGAAATGGCAACCCACTCCAGTGGTCTTGCCTGGAGAATCCCAGGAACGGGGGGAGCCTGGTGGGCTGCCGTCTATGGGGTCGCACAGAGTCGGACATGACTGAAGCGACTTAGCAGCAGCAGCAGCAGGGATTCTACTGCGTTTCAGCAGTCGCTGCCTCTTGGCCTCAGGGGCCCCTCCAGCCTAACCAGATAAGGAAAGGGAGGCACCCTGGAGCAGGGTACATATAGCTGTGGCCAGCGAACTCTTCCTCCAAGAATGCCTGCTGCCTATCACTTAGCTTTTGTCCAGAACTATCTTCACTTTCCCCATGAAAGTTGCCTTCAGGATAGACTGGGACGCCCAGTCTCATGAACTCACTTAGGAGGACTGGGTTCCCACTGTGTCCTCACCTGCATGGAAGGTGGAGTTGGTCATTCAAGGATGAGGAAAGCAGGGTCAGGGAGCAAGCAGCTTGGTGACCTGGTGCATGCCGAAGCAGGAGGAAACTTGGGTGAAGTGTCTATAGTCAGAGAGATGGCAGACAGGGCTGATCTGAGAAATTCTATTGAGTTTGCTGTCATCCATAAGGTACATATGTGTCTGCTGGAAGATTCATGAGTGCTAATTACTGGTCATTCTTTCCTGGGTTCTGCTTTGAAATGCTGGGTACCTGGAAGCACCAGAGAAACTAAAGTTCAGAGGTGATGTCTCACATGCTATTGCCTTCAGGGGCTTCAACAAAAATGAGAGACAGGGCCAAGGCAGATCTGAGAGGGTATGGCTTCTCTGCTGCTGCTGCTAAGTTGCTTCAGTCGTGTCCAACTCTGTGCGACCCCATAGATGGCAGCCCACCAGGCTCCGCCGTCCATGGGATTTTCCAGGCAAGAGTACTGGAGTGGGTTGCCATTGCCTTCTCCGATGCCTTCTCTAAAGGGGGTTATTAATTGTCTTTGGTCAGTGTTGCTACTCAGAAAACAGCCCAGTATCTCCATACTTTGTTTTCTTTTTTAAGAAAAAACAAGCAACAGGATTTATATCTACAACAATGTGATTTTTAATATTAGCAACTAATTGAAAGGTTTTTAAATACAGTATAGACCAAACAGAACACTGTGGGCTGCCAGCTTGTGACCTCAACTGTGGGGTCCATGGGTATATTCCTTGGCTTTTAATGAGATCGCTTGAGAGCATGGAGGATTGGTAGGTGGAATATTGAAAGAGATGGGCTCCAAGGCTCAGAAAATTAGATTTCCCGATCTCTCTGCCACTGTCAGAAGATATTAAACTATCATTTTAGGGCAACCCTTTGTTTTACAGACAAGGGAGCTGAAGACTAGAGAAGGCAAGGCTCTCTGCCCAGTCATGCAGAGCTAGTTCCTGCACTAGGACCAGACCCCAAGTCTGCCAGCTCCCAGCCCACTGCATCACATTAACTACTGCTTCAAAACTAGGCCTCCCTGCCTGCCCAGGACACCAGACCTGGCTCCACCAGAAGCATAAGCTTCCCACAAGTTCAAGAGGCCCTTTCTGACCAGATTCAAAGTTCCCCTGATGCCTGTTTAGCCCAGCATCCCATTGGCTGGTAGTAGGATCCACCCCTTTAGTAGGTTCCTCCCCCTGCCCTGCAGCTCTGTGAGTGTGGACATTCCCTGAGAGGCCAGGGGTCTCCGCAGCAGCATGGCTGAGTCGAGCAAGGTAAAGAAAGCATTTGCAGACTGGCTTCCCCTGTGGGGAGTCTCTGGGACCTCAGGGATGCATGCAGCACAGTTGGAGTCACCACATGACCCCCAAGGCCTCTAGCCCAGATAGCTCTGAGTCTGGCCTGAATTTTGCCAATGCAGGCCTAAGGAAGGAGGCCTGGCTTGCTGGGAGCCTCCTGGCTGGGAGTTGCCTCCCCTCCAGTGGACTTCTGGGGCTGAGAACCCAGCAAGCATGGGTTAACGTGCCTCCTCGTCCTCTCTCCTCAGCCCATCCTGTATTCCTATTTCCGAAGCTCCTGCTCATGGAGAGTTCGAATCGGTAAGAGCTGTGCCTCCACTGAGAGCCGGGGTGGGGTGGAGGGAATCCTGGGTGAGAAGCTGGGGGTACCACCCCCAGCAGATCTGGAGCCCTCAGCCTTGAAGTCATGTCTACCTTGGAAAGCCAACAAAAGGAAGGAAGGGGCTGCTTTTCCTCTTGGACCCGCTACCTCTCCCATACTGCTCTCCAAAGCCCCATAGCAACCATGCTTCAGGCAACCTCAGAGAACTCAGAGGTCCTTGGTAACTGGCAGGGAACAGCTGGCATTCCTCACTTCTTATCTTATTTGATCTGGCAAATTAAACAGAACTGGCCAGTGTCAACCCCAGAGGCCTCAGGGAAGGAGAAACCAGGGCCCCTCTAGTTCAGCCCTCATCTGACCCTCCTCTCCCTCAGCTTCACTCAGCCCTTGGCCAAGCTGAAAGTCACAGGCTCTTGCTGAGAGAGAATGGTGCTGAGTGCTTTTGTGCCCATGACTCCATTTAAACCCGAACAACCCTAGGAGGGAGGTATTGTTGGTGTCACCATTGTGCAGGTGGGAAAACGGGCACAGGGAGGTTGCCCGGGGGGATTTGCCCAAGGTCATGTAGCTGCTAAAGGGTGGAGCTGGAATTTGACCCAGCTAGTCTGGCTCCAGAGTCCATGTTCTTTCCTACCCTGGGCTGCCCATCAGCTGGGCAAACGGGCACAGAGGGTCATGAAGTTACCTGCCCAGGGCCACGCGGCTAGTGGATGAACGTGATGACATTTGAATCCAGGCAGCCTGCTGCCAGGAGCCCAGTCCTGACTGCAAAGCCATCCTCCATGACCTCCTCTTCCCACGGGCCCCTGGTATTTGCTAGATTAGGTGGGCAAGAGCACTGGGCTGCCCGAGGACACGTTCCTTGACGAAGACGCCCTCCCCCGGCCCAGAGCTTCTGCCCTGCCTGGGCCAGACTGGCAGCATGGGCTCTGTCTCTGTGGGTCTGGTGTGCCTTGGCCTCTGGCCCAGCCCTGACCACGCTCACCCTCCAGGGTGGAGCTGACCATGGCTGACGGAGCCCAGTGTCCTCCAGGCTCTCTGCAGACTGACATACCTCACCCTCCTCCCCTCATTCCTTCTCCTGATGCTGGCCATCGCCGTATTTTAATGCACAAGTGTGCACACTTGCACAGCCTCCTCCACTGCAGTTGGCTGCTTTACCCTCACTTTGCTGGGAGGGGTGGTGGGGAGTGGGGAAACATCAGAGGAGGAGAGGAAATCCAGCTACTGGGAGTCCCAGCTATGCCGCCCTGAGACCACCAGAGAGTCCTGGCACCCTGCTTGGAATCTGCAGTCAACAGCCTGGAGAACGGAGAGAATGGATTAGCAAGGGCTTCCTCTCTAAACAGAACCAGAGTGTCATTGGTCCACTTGGGCCCTGCCTGGTCACTGAACAGCTTCCCTCAGCCCTCACTCAGATGGCCTTGGCTGGGGGAATGAGTGCGTGTCTCCAGCACATCAGCCCCGCTTGCCGCTGGGTGAGGCCCTGCAGGGGGCAGAGCTGACGGGGACACTACCCTGCTGTCCTCCAGGGGCCCACAGCCTGGGGGCACAAGCGCTCCCCAGGGGCACAGTGAGCCCAGGAGGAAGAGGCAGAGCGTCAGGGCCCTGGGGTAGGAGAGCAGGTGCTGGGCAAGGGAGATGGGAAGCAGGGTCCAGGACTTCCCCAAGTGGTGCAGAGAAAGAAGATTCCATCTCTCTGGTCGCCCTGGGGAATGTGGTCGGAGGTGGTCACCTGACCACTGTCTGCCATCTCTCGTAGCTCTAGCCTTGAAAAACATCGACTATGAGACTGTAGCCGTCAACCTCATAAAGGACGGGGGCCAGCAGGTAAGGAGGCCGCCCCCCGGCCACGATATAGGAGGCAGAGGCCTCGGAGAGGGGCCCAGCAGGGGATGCAGCCTTCTGCCCACGAGAGGGGAACCCTGTAGCCCTGCGCCCTGTAGTCCCCACGGCCGGAGGAGGCTGCTGGCTCTCCCTCGTGGGACAGGGCGGCAGGCTGTGCAGCAGCTGCCTGAGCCACGGGGAGGCCCAGGTTCCAGGTGCCGTACCACAGCACGGCTCCAGGAGGCCAGGTGCTGAGCCGGTCCTTGCCCCATGGTGAACCCTGCGATGTGCCTTGGTGGCCACATACGAGATGCAGGGACAAGCACACAGCCAGGCCATCAGGACAAAGCCTGTGTCTCAGCGGCCACTGGGCTTTGGGATTCTGCACAGAGTCCCCTAGGTGTCACCCTGGGGCTCGGAGCCAGGGCCTTCCCCAGGGGAGGGGGGTGCAGGTGGGCAGTAGGCTGGGGGCTTCCTGCTTGCTCCCCTCTGCTTTAGCTGACTCAGGCCAGGCCACCCAGTCCACCAGAGCCTTGTCTCCACAGTTCTCTGAAGAATTCCAGGCCCTGAATCCCATGAAGCAGGTGCCAGCCCTGAAGATTGATGGAATCACCATCGGCCAGTCCGTGAGTGGAAGCTTTGGGAGACCCTGCATGAGTATGGGGCCTGGACAAGAAGACCTCAGAGCCCTTCCTTACCTGTGTCTACACAAGGCGCCCAACTCTTGGGAGGGACGCGGGAGGGAGGTTGCCCGCTTGCTTTGGGAAGTGAGGAGAGACTTAAGCATAGGGGGAAGCCCACGCTCTGTAGGACAAGGGTTGAAAATGAGCCCGTCCTCCTGGGGAGCCTCTTGGCTTCATGGGGCTCGAGGGGAGGATGGTAAAAGGGTAAAAAAGGTGGGGTGGTGATTTGGGCTTCCCCGGGTGGCACTAGTGGTAACCAGCCTGCCAACACAGGAGACGCAAGAAACCTAGGTTCGATCCCTGGATCGGGAAGATCCCCTGGAGAAGGGCATGGCAACCCACTCCAGTATTCCTGCCTGGAGAATCCTGTGGACAGAGGAGCCTGGCGGGCTGCAGTCCGTGGGGTCACGAAGAGTCGGACACGACTGAGCGACGTGGTGCAGTGTTGGGAGTGGAGGAGGAGGAATCAGTCGCCCTCTCTGGTCCCTGTCTCACTGCTCCCCTCTGGACAGCTGGCCATCATCGAGTATCTGGAGGAGACTCGGCCCACGCCGCGACTCCTGCCTCGGGACCCGAAGCAGAGGGCCCAGGTGCGCATGGTGTCTGACCTCATCACCAGCGGCATCCAGCCCCTGCAGGTGCGGCTCCTGTGTGTGTGGGCTCCCTCCCTTCCCTCGTGCCTGCAAACCCACCCTGCAGCACCCAGCTCATCAGTGGGCAGGGGCCAGGGGCAGGAGGACAGAGGGAACCCTCAGGGACTTGGTTCCAGACTGTGGGGCAGGGGGAGGAGGGGAGCCAGAAAACACCCATCCCCCAGGGACCCAGCCGTATTCCGAGATGCCCCAGGTTTCCAAGGACACCTCCAGAGGCACCACCTCCCTCTGAGGTGAGAAAGGGCCAGGAGGCAGGGAGAGGCAAGCCACCCAGGCCCTGCCTCCACCCAGAGCAGCCTCCCTTTCACCTGCTCTGTGTCATAGACTGGGATTCGCCTTAGATTTTTTTTTTAATTTTTCATTGGTAGAACTGAAAAGTGCTAAAAGAGTTCATCTATTTAAAAAAAAAATTCATCTGTGCTAACCCCTGACTTTGCAAAAAAGAAAATAGCCCAGAAAGGTGGAGTGACTTTGCAAATAAGAAAATAGCCCAGGGCTTCCCTTGTGGCTCAGCTGGTAAAGAATCTGCCCGCAATGCGGGAGACCTGGGTTCAGATTCCCTAGGTTGGGAAGATTCCCTGGAGAAGGAAAAGGCTACCCACTCCAGTATTCTGGCCTAGAGAATTCCATGGACTGTATAGTCTCAAAGATCAAAAAAAAGAAAATGGCCCAGAAAGATGGAGTGACTTTGCAGAGTCACTGTAAGTGCGACAGACCCCTGACTGTGCACCCGTGCCCCTTGTTGCTTTTTTTTTTTGTTGTTTTTTTTAAGAAAGGAGGTTGGAACAGACANCACAAAGGACCATGTCACGGAGAAGCACTGAATGCAAGGGAGAGAGGCCTTGGGTTGCACCCCCCCCACCTTCCACGTCTCTGCCGGAGTCACAGGCTTCCAGACTACAGGGGCCTCTAGGGCAGCCTGAGAAGGTGGCCTCCAGGATTGTCACCTCCCTTCCACCCCTGGGGCCAGATGTAGGAAAGGAAAGCTCACGGGGTCCAGGGTAGGAGAGGTATACAGTCAAGGGCCACATGGGAACTGGGCTTGCTTGAGGGGCCTTGGCAGAGTGGGTGGGCTCAGGCTGGCTCCCAGAGCTCACCCCTGATTTTCCTTGGGCCACACAGAACCTGTCTGTCCTGAAGCAGGTGGGACAGGAGAACCAGCTGACCTGGGCCCAACAGGCCATCACTTCTGGCTTTAACGGTGAGTCCCTGCTCCTGTGAGCTGCCCCCAGTGACCTCTGAGAGAAATGGCCCTCACACCCGGGGCCCCGGGCATCTGCAGCAACCTCCCAGGCCCTTTGGCCTTGACCGTGGTGGCATGGATGGGCGGGGCCGAGGGGGCAGCGGGTTGGGCAGCAACCAAACCTGACCCGAACCCCTGGTACTTCTGGGAGCCTCACGCCCGAGGCCTTTGGAAGGTGGGTGGCCCAGCTTCTGCCCCACTGTCCACTGCGGGCAGGAAGCCAAGGCCTGCAAAGTGCCTGCCCCTCAGCGTGAGAACCGCTGCCTTCTCCAGTCTTGTCCTCTCATGGGAGGGAGCGGTAGCTGCACTTGCCGAGGGCAGACACCCCCACACCCCGTCACCTGTCTCCAGGCCCGATGGCCGCGTTCCCTCCCGCACACACCCCAGCCTTGCCACTCAAGACAGCTGCCCGTGTCATAGCTATGGATGCCAAAGCCCAGAAAGGCAGATCTCCCTTTTCTGTGCCCGGACTGAGAGTCGCCCTGTTGCCTCCCCACAGCTCTGGAGCAGATCCTGCAGAGTACGGCGGGGAGGTACTGTGTGGGGGACGAGGTGAGCCCCTCCCCGGCAGGCCGCCTCAAGCTGCCACCGTCTCCCTCCAGCCCGGGGCAGGCTCTGCCTCCAGAGCTGCCCGAGGAGGCAGCTGCGGTGGGTGTGGGGAGGGCGCCCTCTGTGCTAAGCAGAAGTTGCCTCACGGGACACTCCTCAGGTCCCCTTGGTCGGCTGCCTCAAGAGGAAGTGAGTTTCTCGTTCCTCAAGGTATTCAAGTCGAAGACCTCATCTCCGAAATGCAGAGGCGGTCCTGCATTTCATGAGGAATTAGCCTAGACAGTGTCTCCATTCCCTTCCAGTGACAGGATTCTAGGGTTTAGGTGCCCTTGGCTGGTACAGGCTGAGGCCCTGGCCCTGTGGTAATTCTGGTTCCCGAGCGCCCCCCACCCGCACCCAGAGGCTTCCGTCCCTGCTGGGAGCCCCCCCCCCACATGCCGGTGGAGGCGGTGGTTTTTAACGAGGACAGGACCGTCCACTGAGGCAGGCAGGCCTTCTCTGGCTACCCACAGAGCTGGTTATCAGGGCAGCTGGAGCGTAGCCAGGAGAAGCGCTTCTGCCCAAGGGTCAGACCCCGCCCGGCCCACGGGAGACAGGCAGGGGACGGCGGCCTGGGGTGGGGAGAAGAGCCAGAGACAGATGGCTGCGTCAGGGGCCAGCACCCAGTACTGGCACTGGCGTGACGCTGGGGTGTGCCCCCTGATGCAAGCCCCCCAACCCTCTTTGCAGGTGTCCATGGCTGACCTCTGCTTAGCGCCTCAGGTGGCGAATGCTGACAGGTAAGGGCACGCCGCAGCACCCTTTCTCCTCCTCCTGGCTGCTCCCCTCAGAACACCCAGCTTCCTCCTACCGTCAGGCCCTGACTTCATCTACTGAGGCGACATCTCATGCAGACTCTCCCCGACTGGCCAAGGTGCCCGCGCCCCCCAGCCCCGTGCCAGGCCACAGCAGCCACTCTGGACCGTAGGAGACGGCCGGAAGAAGCCGGTGTAACACCATTGCCATGCCCACTGCGGCCCGGGGGATACCTCGTAGTCCCTGCCCCCAAGAGGGGGTGCCTCACCCTGTGGACACCCCTGAAGGAGACCCTCTGAGAGCCTGCTCTCCCCCGTGTGGTGTGTCTGTGCCCAGCGGTGAGCTCTGCTTTCCTCCCATCAGCCCTTCAGGAAGGCCCAGATAGAACCTGTCTGTGGAAGGCATCATGCTGAACACTGCTCTGTGTGTGTGTGTGTGTGTGTGCGTGTGAGCGCACGCATGCACACGCATGTGCTCAGTTGCTCAGCCATGCCTGACTCTTTGAGACCCCACGGACTGTAGCCCACCAGGCTCCTCCGTCCATGGGATTTTCCAGGCAAGAGTACTGGAGTGGGGTGCCTTTGCCTTCTCCACCCTCCCCACCAGAAGCTCATGAAATGGTCAGGAGATAATCTGTATATGAATGCCCAGCACCAGCCTAACACATACAAGTCATGTAGGCTGCCACGGCCTGGAGTGGGAACAGTAGATGGTACCGCAGGAGACCTGCCCGTCCGCAGAGCTCCCTGTGAACAGAGACCCCCCAAGCAGGGCCACCTCCCTAGGCCCGCGCCGGCCAGCCCCAGGGACTTCATCCAGCCCTGCTTCTGTGCTCCGCCCCCGCCCGCCGCCCACAGGCTGTGCCCCTGCAGACCTCGGCTTAGATGGATGTTTCTCTGCTGCAGGTTCAAGGTGGACCTCACTCCCTACCCCATCATCAGCCGCATCAACAAGTCACTGCTGGCCTTGGAGGCCTTCCACGTGTCTCACCCCTGTCGGCAGCCGGATACACCCCCCGAGCTGAGGGCCTAGCTCTCAAACTGCGCCCCACTGGTGCAGGGGCGGGGGGCGGGGAGGGGTGCAAGGGGAGACACTGCCTGGGCTGAACTGGCCTGGAAATGAGCGAGCCCCGACTGCAGAGAAGCGGAAGACCTGAACCCTCGCGCTGGCTCTGCCTTCCTGCCGGACCGCTCTCTGCCTCAGCCCCTTCGTTTGTCACCCGCGGGCAGGGTGGGGTGAGAGGATGCGGGAGCGGGTAAGGCAGGCAATTACCTGGTGTCGGGGTCCCAGGCAGTCAGGAGGATGAAGTGAATGTAGACTGAAATGTCTGGCCAGTTTACCAGAGGCATGAGGAAGTCTGAGCACGTCTTCCATCTCCTCGACTGTTAACTGACTTCCGAGACGGCCCACCCTGGAATCTAATCATTAAACTAAAGCCCAGGCCTCCGCGTTGTATCACTTAAAAGCTGAGCTGGGTTCCAGAGGGTGAACCCTCTTCCTGGCTGGAATCCCCCTGCGTCTGGACCAGGAGAGAGAGTCAGCCAGCCACTTGCCCAACCCCTGTGGTTGGCCTGGCCCTCAGGACCTAAGGGCCAGGAAGAGAAATAAGCCCCAAAGCCTTCCTGAGAGAGTCAGACAAGACCCAGGCGAGAGCAGGTATGAGAAGCAGAAGAGAAAGCATCCTGTGACCAGCTGAGCACCCAGGGCTGAGATTGGTACCACTTACCTCTAAGGCTCTCTCAGCCAAGTCCTTCATCTTCAGAGGCGGCGTTCTCTGGACCAGCCCCAGGGTTAGGTACTTAGGATACATCCCATTGTGAATGGTCCTGGGAGCACAGGCAGGCTCCTCCGCGGGCAGTATAAACAGCCTCCAACAGGCGAGCTCAGGAGACCAACCTGTAACAGCTTACCTTGGGCTGCCCTGGAGCAGGCCCCCAAGCCTGGCAGTGAGCCGCCAGAACCAGGATCACTTCTAGACAGAGGTACTGTGGGGAGATTGGGGTCACTTCTGGGAAAGAAACAAGATGACTTGTATACCCCATACCTGAGATTTCACTTCCCCTATGTAACTGAGGTTTAAATGGGGAATTAAGATGTATGTGTCCGGTCCAAATGGAAGTCACCTCTCTCAGCCATGAGTCTCCTTTCTTTTTAAATATTTACTTTTAGTTATTTATTTATTTGGCTGTGCCAAGTCTTGCTTGCAGCATGTGGGATCTTTAGTTGTGGCCTGTTAACTCTTAGCTGCAGCCATGTGGGATCTAGTTCCCTGACCCAGGATCAAACCTGGTCCCTACATTGGGAGCTCAGAGTCTTAGCCCCTGGGCCACCAGAGAAGTCCCCGTGAGCCCCTTTTCTTGAGCTCCAATCGCAGGGCACCTAGTTCATCCCTCTCGCCCTGGGCTCCTTGGCGGCATCTCATCTCTTAGATGACTGGGGTTCCAGGCTCTCCAGTGACCAAGGTGGGCCACTCTGGTCCCAAAGTGAGTTTGTGCCAGCGGAGACAGGAAGGGAGATGAGACCCAGCAGTGGAGAGGGAGGCTGTGCGTGTCCTGCTGCCGTCTGGGCCCTTTTCCCCAGACTGCTCCAGACTCGCCTAGCTGCATCAGGCTCCCCTGGGCTCTCTCCAAGAAACCTTGAGATCAGAGACTAATCTCAACTTGTGGATCTGTAACGGTCACCTGACTTGGACTTTGAAGGTGATTCAAGCTCCGGTGTAGCTCAGGGGAGAGTGGGGCCCCGCACTTCAGGCTGCGCTCCCCGGCCATGCAGAGAGAGTGGGGTCTGCAAGGAGCAGCGGGCGAGCGGCAGGGGCGAGACTTGGCCAGATGGGGTGCTGCCGCCACCTCCCCAGATCAAGGCAACAGCTGGCTCTGCCTCTCACTCACAGGTGCCTTCGGGAGCCCAAATAATCCAAAGTGATTGCCGGCACTGCTGAGGTTACCAGGTCCTCCCACCCCTCCCCCCTCCCAGCCTGTTTGCAGGCGACAGAGAAGCCCAGGAGACTTCTGGGAAGTGCGGGCACCAGACAGAACCCACGTCTAGGACAAGGCTCCAGATGCAGAGACAAGCTGAGACCACTCCCCCGATCTGAACGATTCCACAGGGAACTTGGTATAACGAGCTGGGTGGGCTGGGGGTCCTCCTAGAAAGAATCTAGCTGGTGGCTGTCCTGCTCCAGCTGCTGATGGACTTGCCCCTCCTTCCACTCAGACCGCAAGCATGCGGTGAGCCTTCCCACCGCCACGGGCTGGGGGCTGGGGCTGTGTGACTGGATAAGGCAGCTGCAGCCCCTGCTCTCGCTGAGCTTATGCCTGCCCACTGACTTCTGGACATTTACCTGTCCAGCTGTCAGTCCGCCGCCCAAACATCATGCCTATCTGCTTGTATGTCTGATCTAGGATAATGTCCAAGAGCTGATGTATTTCAACTCATGTCTCCTCCTGGACAGGCAGCACAATATTAACCTGGGACTTCCCTGGAGGTCCAGAGGTTAGGACTCTGTGCTGCCAATCCAGCGGGGGAAAGAGTTCGATCCCTGGTCAGGAAACTAAGGTCCCACATGCTTCAGTGCAGTAAAAAAAAAAAAATTAACCTGTTTAACCTAGGGCCTCCATCAGCCATCCTAAAACTGGTGGCCAAAGTCAAATGGATTTTAAAGAAATCTAAATGAGGTAAAGAGGCAATACAGCCTCCGTTATCAAGCATTTGTAGAAACCATCCTCATGCACAAAAGTCACTTTGATATTTTTCTCGTAGTTCTGGTCCTCTCTAGTTCAACACGAATTTTCTGACACGTGTTGTGAGGTGAACACCAGCAGTGGGTGGGGGAGGGTAGAGATCAAACACTGTGACTTTTCCTCTGGGCTCAGCGAGATCCATGGAGTCATGACATTTCTGAGGCCCTTCTTTTGTCTCCTGGTTTTCCCTGAGCCCAGACAAACCTGTTCTTCCCCACAAAAACAGATGTGTCTAAGCCAAAGAAACTCGCCCCAGGCTCCTCTGAGCTGCCAAGAAACCCTGGGTTGGGTTCTTGAGGTGTCCCCACATCCACGACCTGAGCCACCCAGAGATGTGACTGACAAACCTTTGTGGTGTCAGTTGTAGAGGAACCACAGTCCGTCTCCTTGTTTCATGATGCTTTTGTGAAGGGGAGACTTTGTGTTTTAAAGAACCTGAGCCACGGAGCTCTTCACACAGCCTATAGCAAAACGGTCTCCAGGTCAGGGCTGGGAACCATTCTTGCCGCCTTCTTCACCTGGAACCAAGAAGACTGACCCAGAACCAACTCAGCTCCCAAGAGGCTGCTGCAGCTTTTCTGGAGTTTTCTGTGAGCTTTGGAGACTGGGACGGTGGAGGTGAGGGAACTGGGAGGATGGAATTGAGAGGAACAGAGAGCAGGCAGGCCCAGGGAAGCCACCAGCTCAGGACCAACTGAGGGATGGAAAAGAAATGGGGTGGGGGCAGTGGGATGAATAGTGCTGTGGCCTCACTGAACGACGCAACTCCTGAGAAAGGAGAGCATCTCTGGGTTTCCGGGCCTGCGGTTTTAACGCTAGCGAGGCTATATGTGTTCCAGCCCTGGGACCTCCATGGTGTCCAAGGCATCAACGTGGGTAGCTGCCCTGCTGCTCAGAAATGTGGCGACCTGAGATGGGACCAGCTTCAGGCCCTCCCCCTGGGAAACCATCCTCCCAGAACCTGGGGCTGGACACGTGGGCGAAAAGAGAAGACTCTGCTCTATCTCCAGAGGAACTTCGCTGTGCCGTAGGGAGAGCGCAGCATTCCTACACCTTCTCCCGTGTGAGGGCAGAGCTCCCTCCAAGCTCCTCTAGGGCTGCACCACGGACCAGTCTCTCCTGACCCCAGTTCCGAGCACAGCGACTAGCCCCGCGCCATGAAAGCAGGTGGAACTGAGAGATGCCCGTCTTATGCAGTCACGGCTGGTTACCTCCTCCCTCCCTGAATGGCTCTCCCTCTTTCAGGGCCCTGGCAGACCAGGGAGGGCAAATATTTCCCCAGGTGCGTAGACTTTCCTCTAGAGGGCAGACAGTGGCTCCAATGTTTAGCAATGATTAAGCTGCTGTAAAGGGTTTTTAAAGCTACCTCCTCTGCACCTCTCTCCAGTCTGCAAGTAAATACTTAATTGACTGGGCGGGGGCTGAGTTCAGATATATCTCTCAATCCAAAAGCCATCTCCTATTGAGAGGATATTTTCCAGGAGGGGTTTCTCCCCCATGGCTGACCGAGTAGTAAAAGGCAGGTCCTTCTTTATTTCCACATCAGTTGTTAAATCTGTGAAGACCGATCTGTAGACACCTGATCCCAGGATGCGAGGAGCGCAGGGAGGTCTGATCTGTCCTCCTGCAGTGGGCGTGGTCACAGTGGATGAAGAACAGATGTTGGAATGGCTTAATGCTGCTAATTAGATACGGAGAATCTTCCAGCTCTATGGAAGTTGTAAGTCCTGGTAAATACTTTAGAAGGATGAAAACAGAATGGGGGTGCTGCCAGGAAATCTTTACGAACATAGCAAAATATAAACCATTTTGTTCCAAAGCAATTTTACATAATCATTAAGGACAGTAGCAAACTTAACTACTAGATAAGCAGGTAGATATACATGTTCATAAGATAAGTCTCATTCTATTGGCTCCTCCTAACCTTTGAACATAGCTTATTTAGCTCTTGATTCCAAGGTCAGAAGCAGGCATTAGCCCACTTAGGGCAAATACCTGAACTAAGATGTCTGCTGAGTGTAGCAAGAACTTCACGGGCTGAAGAACATCAGACTGGATGTCAGGGGCTGCAGTGTGTGGCTGCAAACATGTATATGATCCTGAATGATGTCAGGGTCAATGATATGACAGATCATATAAAGAGTGCCTTTCAAAGTTAGAAAATGGGACTGCCCCGGTGGTGCAGTGGATACGAATCTGCCCGCCGATGCAGGAGACAGAGGTTTGATCCCTGGTCCGGGAAGATTCCACTTGCCGCAGGGCAACTAAGCCAGTGAGCCACAACTATTAAGCCTGTGCTCTAGGGCCTGGGAGCCGCAACTACTGAGCCCACGCTTCACAACTACGAAAGGCTGCCTGCCTAGAGCCTGTGCTCCAAAACAAGAGAAGCCACTGCAGGGAGAAACCCAAGCACCACAACTAGAGTAACTCCTGCTCGCCACAACTAGAGAAAGTCCGTGAGCAGCAATGAAGACCCAGCACAGTAGAAAATGATATTAATTAAAAAAAGAGATGCCTGTTCATATGCTTCCTGATTTCAGTGGAGATGATGATATTTCATGCACCAAAAGCCATGTGATCGTGGCTTAACTATGAGAAACAACCATTTACAAAAATAAATGTTAGAAAATAATCTCCAATACGTTCTGTGTCATCAGTGACATAATATATTCGACATACCCAAACACAACACATTAAAGATCCCC